ATTGCCCGAAGGCACGCCTCATTCTCCCGGTGATGGGACCCCACACCACCATTACAAGAGACGGCAAGATTGAGTACGCAGAGGTACCGCGCCAGGGAATGAGTGGCCCCACTGCGTACATCCAGTCGCTCCGCGAGGGCACATCCTTCATTTGTCTGAAGTCAGCCGACGTCGATACTCAGACCAACTTGACTGACTCTCTGCTTGAGACCATGCGCTTCGCACTCCATGATGGAATCTCGTTTGTTGGTAAAAGCTTTCTGGTGACGGGAGCGGGTCAGGGGTCGATAGGAGCGGGAGTGGTGCGTCTATTGTTAGAGGGAGGAGCCCGAGTACTGGTGACGACGAGCAGGGAGCCGGCGACGACAGCCAGATACTTCCAGCAGGTGTACGATGATCATGGCGCAAAGTTCTCCGAGCTGCGGGTACTACATTGCAATCTAGCAAGTGCCCAGGATTGCGAAGGGCTGATCCAGTACGTCTACGATCCCCATGGGTTAAATTGGGATCTGGATGGCATCCTTCCCTTCGCTGCCGCATCCGACTATAGCACCGAGATGCATGATATTGGGGGACAGAGCGAGCTGGGCCACCGACTAATGCTGGTCAATGTCCTACGCCTGCTGGGGCATATCGTCCACCGTAAACGAGATGCCGGGGTTGACTGCAATCCGACCCAGGTTCTGCTGCCACTGTCGCCAAATCACGGCATCTTCGGTGGCGATGGGATGTATCCGGAGTCGAAGCTAGCCCTTGAGAGCCTGTTCTATCGCATCCAATCAGAGTCTTGGTCAGACCAGCTATCTATATGCGGCGTCCGCATCGGATGGACTCGGTCGACCGGTCTAATGACGACCCACGATATCATCGCTGATGCGGTCGAAGAACACGGAATACGCACATTTTCCGTGGCTGAGATGGCATTCAACATCGCCCTGCTGCTAACCCCCGACTTTATGGCCCATTGTGAAGATGGACCTTTGGATGCCGATTTCACCGGCAGCCTGGGAACATTTGGTAGCAGCCCCGGTTTCCTAGCCCAATTGCACCAGAAAGTCCAGCTAGCAGCCGAGGTGATTCGTGCCGTGCAGGCCGAAGATGAGCATGAGAGACTCTTATCTCCGGGAACAAACCCTACCCTGCAAGCACCCGTGGCCCCAATTCACCCCCGTAGTAGCCTTCGCGTAGGCTATCCCCATCTCCCCGATTATGAGCAGGAGATTCGTCCGCTGTCCTTGCGTCTGGAAAGGCTGCAAGATCCTGCCAATGCTGTGGTGGTGGTCGGGTACTCGGAGCTGGGGCCATGGGGTAGCGCGCGGTTACGGTGGGAAACGGAGAGCCAGGGCCAGTGGACTTCAGCCGGCTACGTCGAACTTGCCTGGCTGATGAACCTCATCCGCCACGTCGACGATGAATCCTACGTCGGCTGGGTGGATACTCAGACCGGAAAACCAGTGCGGGATGGCGAGATCCAGGCGCTGTATGGGGACCATATTGACAACCACACCGGTATCCGTCCTATCCAAGCCACCTCGTACAATCCAGAACGCAGGGAGATCATGCAGGAGGTCGCCGTCGAGGAGGATCTGCCTGAGTTTGAAGTATCTCAACTCACCGCCGACGCCATGCGCCTCCGCCATGGGGCTAACGTTTCCATCCGCCCCAGTGGAAATCCCGACGCATGCCGCGTGAAGCTTAAACGAGGCGCCGTTATCCTTGTTCCCAAGACAGTTCCCTTTGTTTGGGGGTCGTGTGCCGGTGAGTTGCCGACGGGATGGACTCCAGCCAAGTACGGCATCCCTGAGAACCTAATCCATCAGGTCGACCCTGTCACGCTCTATACGGTTTGTTGCGTGGCCGAGGCATTTTACAGTGCTGGTATAACTCACCCTCTTGAGGTCTTTCAACACATTCACCTCTCGGAACTAGGCAACTTTATCGGATCCTCCATGGGTGGGCCGACGAAGACTCGTCAGCTCTATCGAGATGTCTACTTGGATCGTGAAATCCCGTCGGATGTTCTGCAAGACACTTATCTCAACACGCCCGCTGCCTGGGTCAATATGCTGCTCCTTGGCTGCACGGGGCCGATCAAAACTCCCGTCGGCGCATGTGCCACCGGGGTCGAGTCGATCGATTCCGGCTACGAGTCAATCATGGCGGGCAAGACTAAGATGTGTCTCGTGGGTGGCTACGACGATCTGCAGGAGGAGGCATCGTATGGATTTGCACAACTCAGGGCCACGGTCAACGTTGAAGAGGAGATCGCCTGCGGCCGACAGCCCGCGGAGATGTCACGCCCCATGGCTGAGAGTCGTGCTGGCTTTGTCGAGTCGCATGGCTGTGGCGTACAGTTGTTGTGTCGAGGTGACATCGCCCTACAAATGGGTCTCCCTATCTATGCGGTTATTGCCAGCTCAGCCATGGCCGCCGACAAGATTGGCTCCTCGGTGCCAGCACCGGGACAGGGCATTCTAAGCTTCTCCCGTGAGCGCGCTCGATCAAGTATGGCATCCCTCACGTCGCGTCCGAGTAGCCGTAGCACCACATCATCTGAAGTCTCGGACAAATCATTCCTGACCTCAATCACCTCCATCAGCAACCCCACTCCCCGCACACAACGCGCCCGATCCACCACTGATATGGCTCCGCTGCGAGCAGCGCTCGCGACTTGGGGGCTAACTATCGACGACCTGGATGTGGCCTCATTGCACGGCACCTCGACGCGCGGCAACGATCTCAATGAGCCCGAGGTGATCGAGACGCAGATGCGTCATTTAGGTCGCACTCCTGGCCGCCCTCTGTGGGCCATCTGCCAAAAGTCGGTGACGGGACACCCTAAAGCACCAGCGGCCGCATGGATGCTCAATGGATGCCTGCAGGTACTCGACTCGGGGCTAGTGCCGGGCAACCGCAATCTGGACACGCTGGACGAGGCCCTGCGCAGCGCGTCTCACCTCTGCTTCCCTACGCGTACCGTGCAGCTACGTGAGGTCAAGGCATTCCTGCTGACCTCATTTGGCTTCGGACAGAAAGGGGGCCAAGTCGTCGGCGTGGCCCCAAAGTACCTTTTTGCCACACTCCTCCGTACCGAGGTTGAGGGCTACTATCGCAAGGTGAGGGTTCGAACCGAGGCGGGTGATCGTGCCTACGCCGCGGCGGTCATGTCGCAGACGGTGGTGAAGATCCAGACGCAAAATCCGTACGACGAGCACGATGCCCCCCGCATTTTCCTCGATCCATTGGCGCGTATCTCCCAGGATCTGTCGACGGGCCAGTATCGGTTTCGTCCCGATGCCACCCACGCCCTCATCGACGATGCTCTGCCATTTTCCGGCAAACCCGCTGAGCTAGTGAAGGGCATCTCCTCCGCCTGGATCGAGGAGCAAGTGCGACCGCATATATCTGCCGGCGGCACGGTGGGCGTGGACCTGGTTCCTCTCGCCGCCTTCGACGCATATGAGAACGCCATCTTTATTGAGCGCAATTATACAGTGAGGGAGCGCGAATGGGCTGAAAAGAGTACGGATGTGCGTGCAGCCTATGCCAGCCGGTGGTGTGCAAAAGAGGCGGTGTTCAAATGTCTCCAGACACGTTCGCAAGGCGCGGGGGCAGCCATGAAAGAGATTGAGATCGAGCATGGTGGTAATGGCGCACCAAGAGTCAAGGTACGCGATTCTTGATCCATTAAAATCCATGCATCACTGACAGATAACAGCTTCGGGGTGCTGCGCTAACAGCGGCGCGGCAGCGAGGATTGGAAGGAGTACAAGTAAGCATCAGCTATGGCGACGACGCGGTGATAGCGGTGGCGCTGGGGCTAATGGCTGGTGCTTCATACTGACTAGTCGTCGCGCCAGAGTTTGAACCTGATGATATCCCATGGGCCTCGCGTATTGGACAGAGTATATAGTAGTAAAGATTGACGAACTTATGCGTCGAATCTTGCAGGAATCGATTCGATTGGTTGGGCAGCGAGCACTCATGTAGTACTATTGGTACTAGTAGTAGTTGGATGGTGGATAAGTCGTCGTGATGGGCGAATTGACGCTCAGAGCGTCGAAGTGGGGAGACGGTTAGAGAGGGCGGTGTGGATACTGCCTGCCCATTGCTCCATTACTAGTACTACTAGTAGTGGCCTTAGGGAGCCTGAGGCTGCCATCTGCCGCCAAGCCCCCCAACTACGAAATGGGATTCGTGTGTCTATGGTATACCCCTCGAGGAAGAGAGGCACAGCTCAACCCATGGACTTGAACTAGCATGCACCGAACTTACAATTTCAGCAAAGTGGTATGATTATATGATTGCGGGAACGTATTGTTCAACGTTGCAGACTTTCGTGTGCTAGTCGAATAGGATCACCTCTGCGTACTGCTACTACTATTACTAACTAGCCCTCTTGTTTCTGAAAAAATATATATTTCAATTCTCCCACGGTGTAGTACACGGGTTTAACCCTTCGCGATGAGAAAATACTGCTGAGATAGGGAGCTATTGTTCAGGATGCAACTAAACAGCACTACGAATGTCTGTATCCCTCCCACCTAAGTTCTCTTGGTCTACAGAGTACTAGTAGTCGTATCATCTTGGAGTACGGAGCAGTGCGTACCTGTGGTTGTTTTGCGGGGCGGAATGAAGATCAACGGGGGTGGTGTGGGCGGCCAGTTTATTCAGGTACCAATGGATCCTGCCGCTTTCCGCGTTCTGGTGGCCTTGACGCGTTCTCTCTCCCCAGTTCGATTTCATTGTCCTTTCTACACACATCGATATTCCCATCACTGGTCCACGAGAATGAACGTTGCATTTCAATTTGATATTATCTCATGAGAGTCTACACAGACAGAACGGAAGAGACCGAAAAGGTTATACACGAAACGATCAAGCGAAAGCCGTCGCGACACGAACCCCAGGACCCCACTGCGCCTTTCTGGACCAGCTCCAAGCATGCTTCTGCTCGCCTCGGAAACATATGACCGCGCTTCGTCGTCACTAGTGGTGTCCTACCAGGAGAGTTGAGATCCATCCGTGTGGATAACGAAGTGCCCCGATGTAGTTTCCTTGGTCGCTTCATCAATCTACCACCCCATCGTTAGCCCACGCAAAGAAGAAGGTAATGGTCATACCCGAGCACAGATGCCTGCTACACTGTCTGCGACAGTTGTTGGAGCCCGCGGGCGGCCCATCAGCCGCGCTCCTTGGTCGCCCATATCGGTTTGGACATGTCTAGTATGCTTCGGTCAGCGAATAGACGTTGCCTCAAAACCCTCGAACAGTGATTACCCTGGATCGATGATGAAGGCCGTGAGCCATTTGTTCTCAAAGTGGAATTTGCGCACCATGTAGTTGGCCGCCAGCTTCGACACTCCGTACGCTGTGAGTGGGGCCCGCGCGTAGTTGTGCATGTTGGTGATGGTGCTGATCGGGGCGCCGATCAAGACAAACTTGGCCTGTTGCTTGGACTGCTGCAGCATCAGGCGGGTTGCCTGAAACAGCAAGACGGGAGCATACATATTGACCATCATGTGCGCCTGGAGATGTTCGAGAGGCATAGTGGACGCGGGCCCAAAGTTCGTCGCCATGGCCGCATTGGCAACCACCACGTCCAAGTGCGTCACCCCGTACTCTTCCCGCAGGTTTGGACGGCTGTCTGGGCGTCGGTTTCCGAGTTGCAGTCCAGCTGCACCACTATCATCCGACTGCCTTCGGCAACGGCTAGTGTTGAGAGCGCCGGCGTAGCGGTGGCGACGTTGCGCACGCAAGCGACCACGGTGCTCTTGGGACGTTCGAGAAAGGCTTCAACGAGACCCTGTCCGATGCCTGCGTGTGATGAGTAAGACTTCGTAATACCCCTGATTCGATGGACCGTACCTCGGTTGGCCCCGGTGACCAAATATACCATCTCCTCAGGTGGTCCATCCCGGCATGGCGTAGAGAGCCTCTCTTGATCGTGCTGGCTAAGTGAGTCGTTCATTATGTTACGGCTTAGGAAAGTACTCAAGAATTGATGAAACCACCAAAGGACCCATGATAGTATCCCATTATATACGGCGGTGTGTTGGTCGCTGGCCGAGTTGGGCGGTTGGGTGGCAGGCATTTGATGGTATGCCAATGAGTTCGACCCCCGTGCTGGCGCCCCAAAAATAAGAAAAAAGACAAAAGAAAATAGCCTATCTAATGATGTTCGCGCATCTAGCACGCTACCTCCCGACTTAATAGCAGAGATCTGCTCATGTCGAGTTCGAGTAACCTATGTGGCATCTACTAGCAGTAGGTCACCATAGCATTGACGGACATGCGTGGCTACAGCGAGGTCTATTGCATGCTATTAATGTGACAAGTAGTACTGATTGATCGGCCAGATCATGTTCCGCTCGACTTAACATTCGCTGACCGTTGAGGTCTTGCGTTCGGTTGCGACTCAGAAGTGACAGACGTTTGGGTCAGTCCGAATTTACTAGTTACACCCATAGGTATTCCAGTAATACGGGCCAGTATCTCCCTAAGCTCTGCATGGTCAAGAGCATCACCATCAGTACCGCATCACGCCGCACACTCCCAGCATCCCCATAACCGAGCCCGCCAGTGGAAAGAGCGCTCGCACAGTGTTAAGCCAATCCCACTTTCTTACTAATCTCACGCTCTCCCGTAAGCTAATCTCCACGTTCCCTTTCTTGAACTGATCCTCGGCGTGGAAGAGGGCGGTGTTCGTAGCGTTCATGAATATCCACGTGTAGGGCACCATGCTCACCGTCGTGACGGCGGCGACCATCCAGTGATGCCAAGGTTCACCGACAGAGTACTTGGCCCACGCCGCATATCCGTACAGGGAACCCGTCACAAAGGCGATTCCGGGGCCTTTACGATGGCCGCTGTAGAAAATACGGCTCCATTGGTGCAACAGCTGGGCCGGCTGTTGGGTGGTCTCGACAAGAATGGGAATGGTGAGCAGATGGAGGTTCATCATGGCCCCTGCATCTGATTAGCTGCTTACCAAACCTTCACTGGGTGTAGAGACGGGAGAGATACCCGTCAGAAAGGACCCGGTGAGGACGGCCACATATTCGGTGCCCATCTTGTTTGTTCTTCTGGTAAAAATGCGGCTGAAAGAGGCGTGCACAGCTAACTCTCCGTCTGCAAGGAGGAACACGTTCTTTAATTCTTCTTTCGCCCTCGTGTTTGTCTAAGAGCGGCCAAGATCCCCTCAATCGGTCTGTGTCGGGTGCGCGAGGGAGATTGGGGGTGGGAAAGCCCGTGTCGGAAAGCGAGCTACGCACGCAGATCCATCGGAGCAAGACAACGGAGATCCTCCCTCCATATGCTGTCATGGAGATCATACAGGCTCTCCTTGCCTGGTGGATGTGTGGAAGTGCCCAGCCGGGGACAGCTGAAGAAAACTCTAACGCAATCACATAGGACATGATTATAGGGGGTCTTGGTACACTCGCGATGGCTGACGGCTCCTCTTTCTGACCCGGGAAATGGGGTACTAGACGTGTAGCCCTCAGCTGAGCTTCTTAGATGGCCACTTGCTGCAATAAAACATACAGCATGGGCTCATTTTCGGGAAGTATGACTAGTCCGCGGCTATGTGGCCTCTTGGTAGTCTGGACGGCAGAGCTGATGGCTCCGATACGACTCAGCTCATCGGTCAACGACGAAATATCTGGAAGTGTAGTTTCAAATACAGATATAGCTTCCTATACCTCTCCGGGGCGGACCTGCTTCCATCGAGTTTCAACAATTTCATACCCTATCCCACAATGGCTCAATCAAGGCAACTCTTTCTCTTCGGTGATCAGACAGCGGATTTTGTTCCCAAGATCCGCAGTCTACTGTCCGTCCAGGACAGCCCTATTCTAGCCGCCTTTCTGGACCAGTCCCACTATGTCGTGCGAGCCCAGATGGTGCAGAGCATGAACATGGTTGATCACAAGTTGGCTCGAACCGCTGACCTGCGCCAAATGGTGCAGAAGTATGTCGACGGCAAACTGACCCCGGCATTTCGAACCGCTCTAGTGTGCCTCTGCCAGTTGGGATGCTTCATCCGGTACGTTTTCTCTTTTTTTCCTGCCTCGGATCGATTCCACCAGTTTCTTCTAAGGATGCTACTAGGGAATATGAGGAATCTGGCAACAGGTACCCGCAGCCCAGTGATAGCTACGTGTTGGGATTCTGTATGGGCTCCTTGGCTGCTGTGGCGGTAAGCTGCAGTCGTTCCCTGTCAGAACTGCTGCCTATCGCTGTGCAAACTGTGTTGATTGCCTTCCGCCTCGGTCTTCGCGCCCTAGAGGTGCGTGATCAGGTGGATGGGTGTAGTGATGACCGAGGTGACCCTTGGTCTACCATTGTTTGGGGTCTGGATCCCCAGCAAGCTCGTGATCAAATTGAAGTGTTTTGTCAGACTACAGTGAGTGCTTCTATATCTTTCGGTACCCAGGAAAAGATACGTAATACTAAGGATCCAATACAACAGAACGTACCTCAGACAAGGCGCCCCTGGATCAGCTGCATCTCTAAGAACGCCATCACTCTAAGTGGCAGCCCATCCACATTGAGAGCATTCTGTGCGATGCCTGAGATGGCCCAGCACCGGACTACTCCAATTCCCATCTGTTTACCGGCCCACAATGGTGCCCTCTTCACGCGCGCAGATATCACTGCCATACTAAACAGGACGCCTACCACTCCCTGGGAGCAACTGCCCGGCCAAATACCTTATATTTCCCATGTGACGGGTAATGCAGTCCAGACTACCAACTACCGTGATCTTATGGAGATAGCTCTGTCTGAGACTCTCTTGGAGCAAGTGCGACTAGACCTGGTTGAGACTGGACTGCCACGCCTTTTGCAATCTCGTCAGGTTAAGAGCGTCATCATGGTACCATTCTTGACTCGCATGAATGAGACCATGAGCACCATTCTCCGAGACAGCTTTATCACTTCTCAGACGAGAACTGATACTGGACGAGCTATCCCCACTTCAGGTCGGCCGGGCGCAGCCAAGTCCAAGCTGGCTATTGTGTCCATGTCAGGGAGGTTTCCTGAATCACCGACCACTGAAAGCTTTTGGGACCTTCTTTACAAAGGGTTGGATGTTTGTAAAGAGGTTCCTCGTCGACGGTGGGACATCAACACGCATGTTGATCCCAGCGGGAAAGCACGAAACAAAGGGGCTACAAAATGGGGGTGCTGGCTGGATTTCTCAGGCGATTTTGATCCCCGATTCTTTGGGATCTCGCCCAAAGAGGCGCCGCAGATGGATCCTGCTCAGCGCATGGCCTTGATGTCTACTTACGAGGCAATGGAGCGGGCTGGTTTGGTTCCCGACACCACGCCGTCGACCCAGCGAGACCGCATTGGGGTCTTCCACGGAGTCACCAGTAACGACTGGATGGAGGTTAATACGGCCCAGAACATTGACACATACTTCATCACCGGTGGAAACCGGGGGTTTATTCCCGGGCGCATTAATTTCTGCTTCGAATTCGCTGGGCCCAGCTATACCAATGACACGGCCTGTTCCTCCAGCCTAGCTGCCATCCACCTGGCCTGCAACTCTCTCTGGCGGGGCGACTGTGACACGGCGGTGGCAGGAGGAACTAACATGATCTATACTCCTGATGGTCACACAGGGTTGGATAAAGGATTCTTTCTTTCCCGGACTGGCAACTGCAAACCCTACGACGACAAGGCCGATGGTTACTGCCGAGCTGAGGGGGTCGGGACGGTGTTCATCAAACGGCTGGAAGATGCTCTGGAAGATAATGACCCCATCCTCGGCGTTATTCTAGATGCTAAAACTAATCACTCAGCCATGTCGGAGTCGATGACTCGGCCGCACGTGGGCGCCCAAATCGACAACATGACGGCGGCGCTGAATACCACTGGACTCCAGCCCAATGACTTTAGCTACATTGAGATGCATGGCACCGGCACCCAGGTAGGAGATGCGGTGGAGATGGAGTCGGTCTTGTCGGTGTTTGCGCCGTCCGAAACCGCCAGAAAGGCGGATCAGCCACTATTTGTCGGCTCAGCCAAGGCCAACGTTGGACATGGAGAGGGCGTGTCCGGAGTTACTAGCCTTATTAAGGTTTTGATGATGATGCAGCACGATACCATACCCCCCCACTGCGGCATCAAACCGGGCAGCAAAATCAACCGCAATTTCCCTGATCTTGGAGCTCGCAATGTGCACATCGCTTTTGAACCCAAGCCCTGGCCACGCACAACCGCCCCCCGCAGTGCTTATCAACAACTTCAGTGCCGCGGGAGGGAATACTGCCTTGATAGTAGAGGACGCTCCGGAACGTCACTGGCCGACAGAGAAGGATCCGCGCTCTAGTCATATCGTCGCCCTGTCTGCGCATGTGGGGGCTTCTATGACAACCAACCTCGAACGATTGCATCGGTATCTCGTGAAGAACCCCCACACTGATCTCGCGCAGCTGTCATATACCACTACGGCGCGTCGATGGCATTACCCACACCGAGTGAGTGTCACTGGCGCGTCTGTTGAAGAGGTGACTCGCAAGCTAGAGATGGCCATACAGAACGGGGACGGAGTCAGTCGACCCAAAGGTAAGCCAAAGATTCTCTTTGCTTTCACGGGGCAAGGGTCCCAATATGCAACCATGGGTAAACAGCTGTACGAAGCGTATCCATCATTCAGAGAGGACCTGGAGAAGTTTGATCGGTTGGCACAAAGTCATGGCTTCCCTAGCTTTCTTCACGTCTGTACTTCGCCTAAAGGGGATGTGGAAGAAATGGCTCCCGTTGTGGTACAACTGGCTATCACCTGCCTTCAAATGGCCCTAACTAACCTCATAACTTCCTTCGGAATCCGTGCCGATGCGACAGTGGGGCATAGTTTGGGTGAATTTGCAGCCCTGTACGCGGCGGGAGTTCTTTCCGCCTCAGACGTGGTTTACCTTGTTGGTCAAAGAGCGGAGCTTCTCCAGGAGCGCTGCCAACGCGGGACCCATGCTATGCTGGCAGTGAAAGCTACTCCTGAAGCGTTGTCCCAATGGATCCGGGATCATGGCTGTGAAGTGGCCTGTAGTAATGGCCCTGAAGACACCGTTCTCAGTGGCACCACCAAGAATATTGCCGAGGTTCAACGCGCCATGACAGAGAACAGGATTAAATGCACGTTGTTGAAACTGCCGTTTGCATTTCATTCTGCCCAGGTACAGCCTATTCTGGCCGACTTTGAGGCTCTGGCTCAGGGAGCAACATTTGCTAAGCCCCAACTACCAATTCTCTCTCCCTTGCTGCGGACAGAAATCCGCGAACAAGGCGTCGTGACTCCATCATATGTCGCGCAACATTGCCGTCACACTGTTGATATGGCCCAAGCCTTGATATCTGCTCGAGAGAAGGGACTCATCGACGATAAGACCCTCGTCATTGAGCTGGGACCGAAGCCCTTAATCTCGGGCATGGTAAAAATGACGCTGGGAGAGAAAATAACCACCTTACCCACTCTAGTACCTAACAAGGCCATTTGGCCCAACCTGCAGCAGATTCTCTCCTCGGTCTACACGGGTGGGTGGGATATTGATTGGAAGAAATATCACGCCCCTTTCGCCTCCTCCCAGAAGGTGGTGGATCTCCCGAGCTACGGCTGGGATTTGAAGGATTACTACATCCCGTACCAGGGTGACTGGTGCCTGCATCGCCACCAGCAGGACTGCAAGTGCGCCACGCCTGGCCACGAAATCAAAACGGCCGACTACCAAGTCCCTCCTGAGTCGAAACCTCCCCGTCCATCCAAGCTGGACCCTAGCAAGGAGGCCTTCCCCGAAATCAAGACCACCACGACACTCCATCGAGTGGTGGAGGAGACGACCAAACCTTTGGGGGCCACCTTAGTTGTGGAGACAGACATATCTCGGAAGGATGTCAACGGCCTCGCTCAAGGGCATCTTGTCGATGGGATCCCTCTGTGTACCCCTTCCTTTTATGCTGACATCGCCATGCAAGTGGGCCAATACAGTATGCAGCGGCTCCGTGCGGGACATCCGGGGGCCGGTGCCATAGATGGCCTCGTGGACGTGTCCGACATGGTGGTAGACAAAGCGTTGGTTCCCCATGGGAAGGAGCCTCAATTGCTGCGCACAACGCTCACGATGGAATGGCCGCCCAAGGCTGCTGCTACTACGCGAAGCGCCAAAGTCAAATTCGCCACGTATTTTGTACGTTGTCCCCTTGTTTCTTATAAGATGGCAATGTAATACTGATCTATGTAGGCCGATGGCAAGCTCGATACGGAGCATGCCAGCTGTACTGTCCGATTCACAACCGATGCACAATTAAAATCTCTGCGCCGGTCTGTGTCTGAGTACAAGACCCATATCCGCCAGTTACGTGATGGCCATGCCAAAGGGCAGTTCATGCGATTCAATCGGAAGACCGGGTACAAGCTCATGAGCAGCATGGCTCGGTTTAATGCCGACTACATGCTCTTGGATCATCTGGTGCTGAACGAAGCAGAGAACGAAGCAGCAAGTTGTGTAGACTTGTCGTTGGGATCGTCAGAAGGCACCTTTGCAGCTCACCCAGCTCACGTCGACGCCATCACCCAGGTGGCCGGTTTTGCTATGAATGCCAATGACAATGTCGACATTGAGAAGCAGGTTTACGTCAATCACGGGTGGGAATCGTTCCAGATTTACCAACCGCTCCATGCAAGCAAGTCTTACGAGGTCTACACCAAGATGGGTCAAATGAAGGAAAATGATTTGGTGCATGGCGATGTGGCAGTTTTGGACGGAGAAGAAGTCGTTGCTTTCTTCCGCGGTCTTTCAGTAAGCCTTCGAATGAGAGTAGACCCGATGAAGAGACTTATATACTAACTGATATTCAGCTGCGATGCGTTCCCCGTGGTGCGCTGCGTGTCATCCTGCAGTCTACAGCGGAAAAGGCCGATCGCAAACTAGGGTTAAAGACAATGCCGCCGCCGCCGCCGCCGACGATACCAATATCGTCTTCCAAACCAACCTCTACTCAGGTTTCCGGCCAACCGATTCCAGCAGAGGCCGCTCATCCTCACACCCCGCCACAGCTAAAGGATTCACGGGCACCGGAAACTACCGGAAGCGCTCCAGCGGCAAAAGGGGCAGGCGTCAGTAACGAAAAGTTAGATGCTGTAATGCGAGTTGTTTCGGAGGAGAGTGGAATTGCCCTCGAGGAGCTCACTGATGACAGCAACTTTGCTGACATGGGCATCGATTCTCTGAGTTCAATGGTCATTGGGAGCCGCTTCAGAGAGGATCTTGGGCTGGACCTGGGGCCTGAGTTTTCTCTTTTCATTGATTGCACTACCGTCCGTGCCTTGAAAGACTTCATGTTGGGAAGCGGGAATGCTGGCAGTGGCTCCAATGTAGAAGATCCCCCTCCGTCAGCTACTCCTGGCACCAATCCCGAAACCGATTGGTCTAGCAGTGCCTCCGACACTGCTTTCACCAGCGAAGATCACAGTCATGCGAGTGAGTCCGGTGCCGACACTGGAAGTCCGCCTACACTTGATCTGAAGCCTTACTGTCGCCCCTCAACTTCTGTCGTCCTACAAGGCCTACCTATGGTAGCGCGGAAAACTCTGTTTATGCTCCCTGATGGGGGAGGGTCGGCCTTCTCTTACGCCTCCCTCCCGCGCCTCAAATCAGATACCGCGGTAGTGGGTCTGAACTGCCCTTATGCCCGGGATCCCGAGAACATGAACTGCACACATGGAGCTATGATTGAGAGCTTTTGCAATGAGATCCGGCGGCGACAGCCGCGGGGGCCCTATCACTTGGGCGGCTGGTCGTCCGGTGGTGCATTTGCTTATGTCGTGGCTGAGGCACTTGTTAACCAGGGGGAGGAGGTCCATTCTTTAATCATTATTGATGCGCCGATTCCCCAAGCCATGGAACAACTCCCCCGAGCCTTTTACGAGCACTGCAACAGCATTGGATTGTTCGCTACCCAGCCCGGGGCTAGTCCAGATGGTTCGACTGAGCCTCCGCCCTACTTAATCCCACACTTTGCTGCTGTGGTGGACGTGATGCTGGATTACAAGTTGGCCCCGTTGCATGTGCGCCGGATGCCCAAGGTCGGCATCGTCTGGGCGGCAGATACAGTCATGGACGAGCGGGATAGCCCCAAGATGAAAGGAATGCATTTCATGATTCAAAGGCGGACGGACTTTGGCCCCGATGGGTGGGACACGATCATGCCCGGGGCCTCGTTTGATATTGTCCGAGCGGACGGTGCTAATCATTTTACATTGATGGTGGGTTGTGCTTTGACTACAGCTGAACGGACCTGGATGCTAACACCTCGACAGCAAAAGGAACATGTCTATAAAATTAGCGATCTGATCGACCGGGTCATGGCCTAGCAAAGCCTGTTTCGGTGGGTGACGTGCATACTTACGACTATTATTGGTGCTGGCGGAGGGAGGAAGCAGGGGCATATTTCTTATTTGTCGTCGCTTTTAGAAAAGACGAAAGTGTGGTTTACAAACTTGTTTTACAGGGCTCATTGTATATATTGATCCCAACTACATATATAGGTAATTTAACCATAATCGCATGTGCACTTTTCGGGGCAATTCGTCTCCCATTCATCCTTAGTCTTGGAAGCCATAATGGCTAAATATTTCTCTGGTTGATTATGACCGGCTGAGATAGGCGTAACTGGCGTCAATGACGAGCTGAATCTATATGGGCGTAGGGAGGTTTTCTTTCCCTTGAGCAAACAGTCACAAATGCAGAGATACGAATCGGATGGCTAGGTTCCACCCACCAGCCCCTGAATTCTCTCGCGTCCAAGGACACCTGTTGGGTATGTCTTTACAGTACCGCCACCTGAGTAGCCTCAGGTACCAACTATGGGACAAGCGCCGATTTGCTTGTTATTTCTAACAGGTATCGTATTATCTTGCTTGAGTTTACAATCTACTGGACCTAAGATCCTCCAGTTCCGTTTCGGGTCAGGCAGGATGCCTCTTTTTAGGCTAACGGGTGATGGGGACCTCCACGTCAGGGGCATTTCATTTCTTTGAGAAGTGCCTAGTAACGGCAACGATATTCAGATCGCAGCCGTCCGGTATTTCGTTCGACCTACCTTTCGGCGTGTTGGCCGCGGGCATTGGACTTTGGGGATCGTTTCGGACAGCGAAAGCGGGTTTCGGACAGCGTAGACCATGGCCTCAAAAGGTTCTTCGGGGTTTATAGGTCCGCATGACAATGCCGGTTCCAGAGACAATACGCCCAGAAACGACAAGGGAAGTCCTGGAAAACCAAAGCGCAGGCATTCAATGTGTAGAGAGGCTAGGGGGGAAGAGGGTTCACGAAGTAGTCATAGAAAACTCACGGCTGAGGTGGTGGTGGTCTTGTTATCCGGATGTGCCCATGAGCAATCCTTTGCTGTAGAGTGGGCTTCGTGGGGGCTCTTGGCTCAATGGAATACGCCAAGGTTGACTAAATTGAATCGATTGACGCATTACTAGTCGTTCGAACATGCCAATGGAGGCAGATCCTCCCATATGTATTGTTGTATGTAGCGCTATGGATAAATTGCACGATGGACTTATCACCCGTGGAACGAGTACAACATACGCTGGCAGATGACGTTCATTATATAATTGTGGAGATCAAAAGAAGGGACCCGCGGTTGAACGAGGTAACGCCGAAGCCGTTTAAAAAGAATTAAAAAGAAATAAACATTGTTCCTGGCAGGCTCGGCGTCCTCGCTCTCCCTTGCAAGAAGGGAGATGAGAACGGGTCTCCGATAATCCGGAACGTGAACTCATGTGCACGAATGTTGAATAATGCTGGAACCACAACGAAAAAAAAGAAAGAGGAAAAGAGAACCGTAGATATGGGTTATAAAGGTTAGCTGGGTGCTATCGAACGTTACCTATTCTGCTTGACGTTTCTCCATTCGATCCCTACGGCGCCGATAATGCTGAGACAGCTGCAAATTAGGGCTACTTGAAAGACGTCCAGCAGCGCGGCGTTATATGCCACCAGCACCTGGTCCATGTACTCAGGTTGGACCAGGTGGCGAAATCCAGTGGCGCCGGCACCCACGACTGCCTCTGAGTCGAGACCTGGCAGCTGCAGATTCGCGAGGTTCTCCGCTAGGTGGGTGCTGAAGATGTTTTGCGCTACCGAGGTGAAGAGCGCACCGCCCAACATCTGTACAAACCAGATTAATGCGGTTCCGATGGGGACTTGCGCCATGGGGAGCACGGCCTGAACGGCCACGGCCCCTTGCTGAAAGCCGAAGCCGACCCCGATCCCGTAGAGGAAGAGAAAACCGATCCACTTGGATTGGGCAATATCCACGGTGAAGAGGGTAAGGCAGCCGGCACCGATCGACATGATCACGCTACTGACAATGAACCAGGGGGCGTAGTGGCCTGTCTTGTTGGTCACAGCGCCAGAGATGATGGCGCCGGCGGTATTGGCCAGAATCAAGGCAATGGAATCAATGCCTGCCTGCACGGGTGATTGGTTGCGAATGGCTTGGAACTACTGATATGCATTAGCACCATCGTCGCGTGGTGGGGCGCATCACACGGGAAGGGGACTAGGGAGAGACGGGTTACCCAGATCGGCACATAATAGATCATCACGAACATGGACGCGCCGATGAAGAAGACGAAGACGGAGGCGCAGGCTACGGATCGCTGAGATGCTACTTTGATTGGAACTGGCGGTGATGGTGAGCGAGGCTTACGGGACGGGTGGAAACCAATGGGGGATGAGATACCGGTGGCATTATCCTTCATGAGGACCTGAATGATGATAAACGTAATGAGGAGCACGCCGAAGAGAACAAACAGTGCGATAATGCGTCCATTCGACCAAGCGTAGTCCACCCCACCCCACTGGAGCGCTAGGAGAACGCAGATGATGGCGGGAGTGAAGACGATCGTGCCTAACGGGTCTAAGCCTTTCACCATCTCCCAGGCGCCATGCGTGCGCAGGTCCGCCGATTTGGGGATACGAAGCAGAAATAGGATAACCACAGCAGTGACCCCTCCGATCGGAAGATTGATGTAGAAGCACCATCGCCAGGTCACTTCGTTTGTGAAGGCGCCCCCCAACTGCGATTCACAAGGAACGGTTAATGGTTCCCGTCACGGTCGCCAGGTGCATCAACGGTGACTTACCAGAGGGCCTGCCACTGACGCAATCCCGTACATTCCCCCCATGAGTCCCATGTAAACCGGTCTCTTGGCCAAGGGCACAATATGCGCGATGGTGACCAGGGCACCTGTGAAGATCCCCGAGCTCCCCACTCCCGCGATGGCACGGCCGACGATGAGCACCACGGACGACGGTGCGATGCCACAGATCAGAGAGCCCACCTCGAAGATAAACAGGGCGATGAGAAAGACCCATTTGGTGCTGAAGAGGGCATAAAACTTGCCATATAGCAATTGGAAGGCTGTCCTCCCCAGGTCGTCAGCGGAATGGCAATTCGAGGCTAAGTAAAAGAAAAGTCTCGTGCGGACTTACCACATGTAGTCAGTAGGTAGGCGGACGCATACCATCCAATATCGTTCAGCCGGTGGAATTCATCCGTGATGCGTGGGATGGCAACGGACAGGATCTACGCCACAATCATCAGCAGTTCAACACCTACCGTGCCAGGGAAGGCGAAGAAGCGCGCGCGGGGAACGAACGGTGTTATCGAGAGCCACACAGAACACGGCGAGCAAGAGACTTATCACAATGAGATACAACTTCATGCCGGAGATGTGACTACTCGCCTGGGCAGCCTCGTCGATTAGCATGCCATGGTCGTTAGAGGTCCGTACCTCCCCATCGCCTGTGGGGATGCGCTCGGGGTCGAGCGCCGTCTCCTTATTGCTGTGCATCCTCGGACCAGCTGGACGACGGTGCTGGGTGGGGGGAAGAGTCTGGTGTTGTTTTGAGGACAGGGGGTCAAGGATATATGGGAGACACAGGAGACAATAACAAACACGATGGCGACGAGGAATGGGCTGCGAAGGAGACGGGAAAGAAAGAAAGAAAGAAAGAAGGAAAGACAGAAGCCGAAAGAGAAAACAAGCCAGAGTGTTTGTGTTGATTGTTCTTTGTTGCAATCCTTGCTTTTCGGGCGGCAATCGACCACATCCCTGCAGCGTGGCCACGTGAGGACGGTTCCCTTCGACCTCTTCGTCCTCACTGTTGGCATCAAGCCATGATCCCGGTCCCTTTCGCTGGACCTCCTGCAGGCCTCGCTGGGGGATGGAGTTGGCAGATGGAATGCCTGCCACGCGCCCCAGTCATTCCAGAAACACGACTACATTGGCGAATAACATACGCACCCACCAACGGTGGATCTACGACCGTCAACGGGAGACCGACCAAGAAGACAATCGCAGGGCATCTACATTCTTCGAACTAACAGGTCTAATTTGGGTGATATTTCTGCGGTGCGATGGGCACCTCTGGGGGTGGGTCACTCGATCCGTATCTCCTCGCCTGCGCCCCCCGCTCAATCCGCCAACCCAGTCACCTTGGCACGGACAGTGAAGGGCCCCTTCTCCGGTGCAGCGAAGCCGAGATCGCGCTTCATCTGCAACTGCTCGACTGTCGTCTGGTAGGGGACCAGGTCGAAGCGTCTCGCGACGGTGGCGATGGCGAGATAGATTTCTGCTAGAGCGAAACTAACCATTCATGTCCGTACTTTAGAAGACTCTCTTAAGGAACAGTTCGCACCCACAGGAGAGACTTACTTGATGCCGAGGCAATGGCGACTGCCTTTGCTAAAGACAATCATATACCGATGCAAGTTGTGCCCGTCGCGGGTGGCCTGGACCCAGCGATCCGGGTTGAAATCCTCAGGATGTGGGAAGATCGAGGGGTCCATGCAGACGAAATAGGCGCTTTGACTGATCGGAGTCTGGTGACGAAAGGGGGAGTCAGTCAGTGCTGTTCTTGAATTCTCTTGGGGCACAAATAAAGGAGGAAGACTGACACCAGGGGGTATGACAAGTTCTTCGTACACCAGAGGATCGTTGGGGTAAACGCGTGCAGATCGAATGATGAAGCCAAAGGACAACCGAAGGCTTTCATTGACAACGCCGGCCTATGAACCACGGGTGTCAGGATGTGCATCGAGACAAGGAGGGAACCAACGAGAACAAACCAAGTATGGCAATCGTTCCAATTGTGTCCAGGAAGCGGTGCTGTCGGGAAACGGCATCACAGTCCGAAGTTCGTCGCGCAGTTGGAGGAGCAGGGGTGGCTTATGTGCCAAGTGGAACACTCCCACCGCCAGGGCCCGTGCCGTTGTCTCCGTGCCCCCGGCGATAATGTTCAATGTCTCCATTTGCAGTCGCGTGGCCGTTTTCTCCTGCTCCGGGACGTCGGCGGTGGCCATCGCCTGAAGCAGGGTCTTCTGGTCTCCCATCGTGCCATTGTCCTGTGAGTCCAGGATCTCTCCCACCCGCCGTTCAGACAAAGTCCACAGGTGGAGGAATTCGCCGGCGGGGACCAGACAGGCGGGAAGATACCGGGCGAGCTTCAACAGACGCCCGAAGACGAGCAACACGGGGATCCAGCGACCCACGCTGTCCATGCCCGCGAGAAAGTCGTTTTTGAAGTCCGGCTCCGTGAGATGGTTCAAGTTTGTTCCGTACACATAATGCGTCGTGAGGTCGGAGGTCAACGCTGCAAAGACGTATTTGAGATCTAAGACGGTGTCATGATGATATGCCTCCGTGAGTCGGGCAGCTAGGAGGTTCACTTTGCTTTGAATGATATGCTCTAGGCCCGTGACGTATTGCTTCGAGAAGAAGGACTTGATAATTCCTCGTCGCAGCCGATGGTGATTGTGCTTGATGGTGGTGACCGTAACCTCTGGGAAAAGAGGGACCGCCGGGAATCCGGGATCTTTGTCCTGCTTTCTCGCCCCGCCAGCATAAATGTGATGGTAATAGTACGAGTCTTGGATATGCACTTCGTTGGGATTGAACCGAATAACGGGACCTAGGGGGGAGAGAGGTGACTGGTTAGTTGTAAAAGTTGGTCAGCGCCAAGAGCCAACTCACCGTACTTGCGATGCAACTCGTCCAGCTTCCAGATATACTTCCCGCCCTTCACTGCATCATAGTAATGTTGATACAGATGCGTGATAGCGGCTATTTTCGGCCCAGGAATCTTTCTCAGAGGGTGAAAAAATACACGGTAAACGCTGCGCACAATCAAGGCCACCAACAAGCTGAGGAGCGAGGCGTAGACGGTGTTAGATGTCATGGTGGCCAATGTTGGTCAAAAGAGACGGTATGATTCGTGCTGGACGCATGTATCCACTCGTCTTTATAAGGGCCATTTACCAGTTCACTGCCATTTACCCCAGGTTTCGGGTGGGGCTCTTGAAACTGACCAGCCCCTGTCACCTACCTGAAGCGAACCCGACCCTTCGGTGGCCGAACGTCCTACAAAATTGCCAGCGAAACCCAGGGTTCTTCGATCTGACCCGAAAGCCCACTCACGAATTCACGCAATGTCTACCCCAGCTCTCCTCCTCAGTCGGTACCGACAGCTCTCCCCAACCGCGTCAATTCGCGTCTCTCCGCTCTGTCTCGGGGCTATGACCTTTGGCGCGTCAGACGGAGAGATGTTTGGCGAATGCAGCAAGGAGACGGCTTTCGCTATTCTCGACCACTTCTACCAGCAAGGCGGCAATTTCGTCGACACGGCCAATGGATATCGGGCCGGGGAATCGGAGATGTGGCTAGGCGAATGGATGGCGTCCCGCAACAACCGCGATGATATTGTCCTAGCTACTAAATATGCGGCGGGCTATCGGGGCCACGAGAAAGACCGCATCCAGGTGAACTACGGAGGAACCGGGACCAAGTCAATGCGTCTGTCGGTGGACGCGTCTCTGCAAAAGCTTCAGACGAGCTATATTGATCTACTCTACGTGCATTGGTGGGACTACACGGTTTCTATCCCAGAATTGATGCACGCCCTCAACGACCTGGTTGCAGCGGGGAAAGTCCACTATCTCGGGATCAGTGATACCCCTGCTTGGGTGGTGTCCAAGGCAAATCAATATGCCCGGGACCACGGATTACGCCAGTTTGTTGTATACCAGGGGTTGTGGAGCGCGGCGAAGCGTGATTTCGAACGGGATATTCTCCCCATGTGTCGGGATGAGGGGATGGGCCTTTGCCCGTATGGAGTTCTCAATCAAGGTCGATTCCGGACCGAAGAAGGATTCCGGGAGCGTGACCAGACGAACAATGCCGGGGGACGAAATATTATCCCACTGTCAGAGCACGATCGTAACGTCTCCGGGGTGTTGGAAAGAGTTGCCATGTCTAAGGGTGTGCCGATGTTGCAAGTGGCGCTGGCGTATGTGGTGCAGAAAGCCCCATATGTGTTTCCCATTGTTGGAGTCCGCAAGGTCGAGCATCTCATGGGCGTGGAGCCCGCCGTGCACATTGCACTGACGGATGAAGAGGTGAACGCCATCGAGAATGCATATGAATTCGATCCTGGATTTCCGCATACCTTTCTCAGTGGTTCGATGTTTGCTCGGGGGACGCCGAAGGGTGGGTATGCCCCTGATGATGTTTGGTGGACCAAGATGCTGGGCACGTTTGACTGGGTTGAGGGAGCGAAGGCCATTCGCCCGCAACCATGACCTGTTGCAATAGTACCCACGATCCAAGAACATAGCTAATGTGCTTTGTCCAAGTTGGCTACCAGAAGCTCTGACTGTCGGTAATTGTAGCCTAGTACGCTTGTAGAGGAGTTGTAATAGCCGGCTTATTGTTGTTCATTGTAAGCGACCCATACAAGAGGAAACACCGGGTTATGGGTCATCTGTCACACAATCCTTGCCGGTACATCACGACCCTGCAGATGCTGCCCCTGGATCGTCGACCGGTTTGGCACCACTCCGGATGCAACTGTGCAGACTATTGAGGCTGTTTCGGCTCAGTGCCGAGCCCGCGGAGTGCCAAGAGTGTGGAGTTCTCCGCTACACCCACCGGTTAGGGGTCTCGGAACGCCGAGGGCTTTGCCTGGTGTGACCTTCACCATTTATGACTGATTCTACTCAATCCATATAGGCGAGACCACTGTTCGTGGGAAGTAGTATTCGGTAGAGGGGTCCGGCACAGTCGGACCTACTCACCGGACATTACTGACTAGTAGTACTGCTGAGCTGTGTGCCATCAGTAACAATTATATCAATTATAAAGTGCTGTATATCTTAATCTATGTGAGCGGTTATAGTTAGATTACAGTTAAGATATAGCACTCAGATTAATCTACTTTAACCTGACCCGACGCCAACTCTAAAATAAACTACTTAGAGTCTAACTACACATCTGTATACTGTATAGATTTCGATTATATAGAGAAATTCTAATGCTTGAAAAAATATTCTACTTTAATTAATGTATACATTCTCTCGCATTTAGAACACAACTTACAGTCAATTCTTCTAGTATTGCATCTCATATAGACCGTTGGCCTACAGCGCCCCAAAGACTTACCGATCATGTACGCCGAACAAGCCCTTACAATCACAGTATTTCATACCCTAGTTCTTATCCCACGTGTAGAGACATGGGCAAACTAACACTTCGCATCACGTACAATCACATTCCACTTGTCCTTCATGAACATCTGACCAGCACAAAGGTTCTCGAAGCCTGAATCACTGCTAACAGCAGACATCCAGCACCTGTTGCAGATTTCCTCAGCAGCAAGACCAATCTCTCGAAAGGAGTCCAAAGTTTTGCTTTCGGTCTACAAGAAGAAAAAATAGTTAGCTCATGGCTGGTAGCCTACCTGTCATGGACGGTCAAGGGGAGGGAACTGACGTTATCATTGCACCACCAAATAGCATTGTTATAACTGCAACTCACTCGGCCACAGTTTCCAGGTCCGGGCCCATTTGTAGGCTTGCCCGCAACGTCATTTTTCAGGTATTCAACTCCTTCTTGAACCTTGTTTCCATCCGCAGCGCCCCACCCATTCGGGTAGCAAATCAGACTCTCCTCGTCGTAGCGCTTCTCCAGGGAGCCTACCAAGGCGCCCTTATCGTCGCGCTTCTCGGTCTTCTGTTCGATGGGTCTGTAGTTGGGATTGATGGAACGGACCTGGTTGGCGACTTCTTCGATTGTTCCCCGGACGCGAAGCTTGTTACCGGGTGAATATTCTACTTCCCATTCGAAGTCTTCAACACCGTAACCCTCAATTGGAGCTTCCAGGGCTTGAGCCTAAAGAGGAAGATCAGTCAGATTGGACTCCAGACTATGTCAAAACAGTGGCCAAGTACCCCAAGAGAGAAGAATGTGGCGATGACAATGGCCAAGGTGGGACGCATGGTGAAGTACTGGAGATCTGGTTAATTTGGAGAATGTTGAACACGAAGTACCCATAAGGAGGCGAGACAAGTAGCCGACTCTTATACCTATCAAACTCGGGCTTTGACTGAGCTTCAAACAGAACATTTTGCCAGGCAACAGACCCGCATGCATCAGTAGTCATTGATTATATGACATATTGGGGCGAAAACGGCGTATATGCAACTTGAAGGAATTAGTGGATCCTATGGCTGACATGATATAGTAATAGTGTCGGCAGGAGAACAAGGATAACTCCGAATCCTATTGAGATACGAATTGGGGGAATATGCAATATTGCGGAGTGCTCGAGGGCCCAACTAGCAAGTCCGCTGGTTCCAGAATGGACAATATAAAATAGTCGCAAAAAGACAGGCTAAGAATCTCGGCAGACACACCAATCATCCTTCCGTAGAATGTTGACAGTAAGATTGAGCAATGCGGAGACCGGAGCTATTAGACGCCCATGTAGTAGCAGCCTAAATTTCCAGCCCAGAACAGCCAAACCACGTCTCTATAGCCCTATGGTCCCGAATGGAGCCATTCCCAGGCAACTACCAGTCTGCCTGGCAAGAGGTAATGCATGTTCTTTACCGAACAGCGCTAAGTTCAGCATAGGCAGGACCAAATCCTTCGTTTCCGATTATGATCGTGTACATTCCTCTTGTGCTTTAGTCGCGGCACCGTGTAAGCAGAGTCCTACATATGTACAATCTAGAGTGTGAACTAAGCCAATCATGATCCAGCGGAGCGCCCATTACTGAAATTCAATAGGGGTGTTTGGACCCTCGAGCACCATGCTGTAGCAGGCCCATAGTCTTGAGCCAGGGTAGGGGCACTTCTTAACTCCGATGGACCAATGCACGCATTGTGGGGGGCCGTAAACATTATGTTACATTGATATCCACCATGTTGCCGGCACGTGGTTTCCGCCCCTAAACTAATACTATGCTGCCCACGAACCAACCAGTTCTTGGCGGGTAACACTCGAGTAGAACTATGACTAGGTAATATCTAGGGATATCTAGGCCACCCTTCAACTACCTGTTTCTACGTATATAATCCATGCGCAGTAATAAACTATAGAAAATTGAGAGGGCAGTATGCTTGGCAGGACAAGCCTCGAGATTCTTCACATCTGCTTCGTTTGTATATGAACGGGTCTAAGAATGCCAAGAAGCTAAGCCTGTGAGTTAGGACGCTATCTATCTTAATATCCACTACTTGGTGCGTATATGCATAGATGCACATCCTTCAGCTTAGAAACATATGGGCCCCACTTTAATCTATTTACTGAAAACGAGGGAAATGTTCGGATAAACCCGCCAATTGACCCGGACAGTTCGCCCAAAGTTGTGGGATGAGCCTCAAATAGAATAGTCAGATTCGTTCCAATGCGTGGAGAGGGGGGCATAGCTAAGGTAAAAGGAGTAGCTGACTCTGAAGGTGTATTAATGCGGGTAAGTATCTGAATCCGAAAGATTTCTAAGGCGTGGGGGCCAGGGAAGAGATATAAAGATGTGAGTTCGCATCGTCTATTCCCTTTCCTTTGAGCAGAAATCAAGCAGGTATTGCCCTAACAGGAAGTGTTTGACACCGTGTCTCTTTTCAATATGAAGTATAGCGGATTTATTGCAGTACTCCTTGCCTGTTCAGTGGCGGCTGTAAGTTTTCATCTCCATGTCACTGTGAAATTCTGACTAACCGGCTGCCAGGGTCCAGTCGAAAGCTCCACACAAGGCCCTCCAGGATATGGCGTCGAGGATCTGGAATGGAGCGTTCAACTTACAGAGTCTGACGATCCCATCAATGTGAAAGGCACCGTCGAAGATGTTGTCACTGAGCTTTCAAAGCAAAACCCAAGTGCTGAAGCACAAATCCGAGCCC